GGGGGGTTGAAAAACTATTTCTCAAATTTTTTTAGATTTTTTCGGCAGCCTAGTTTGGAGATATTATTTGGAGAGATTATTTTCTCGTTTTTCCGTTTTTTCCAATAACTCGAGTTCTATCCATCCGATTTTTATTTATTAAGCGTCAAAATTTTTCATTTTTTACTGCCTATAAGAATATTTTTAGTAAATTTTTTTTTTCGATCTTCAGATGCTCATAATAACGAATTTTCGAAAAAAAGTTGAATAAGTTGAATTTTGCAAATTATGTGACTTTTGATTTGTTTCCTTTTTTTTTAGTAGTTCTTATAATCAAAACAAATATTTTGACCGTCATACAAGTTAGGGATCCTCCTGGATTTATTTTATTTTCAATTTTTTTTCAGTCAAAACTGATCAATGGTCAAGGTTGTCTTGCACCGTTTTACCACTTCGCTACTGAAGTGTATTCTAGGCTGAAGACCCTAATTAACTAACTAATTCAATCAAAATTTGACGTCATACATAGGGATACAAGGGATAATAAGAAAATAACTCAACTACAATGATGACTCAATAATAATGATGATGATAACTCAACTAAGGTGAAAATCTGACAAAATAAGTTAAAAAGAAATCTCATTCAATTTAATAAAATGAAATAAACAATTAATTGAAGGAAACATGATAGAAGGAAATGATGTCCAAAATAACTATTGCTAATTTATTAGCAAAAATAACTATACCATATGTAATACAAGAGCAATTTCTCACTTATTTAAAAAAATGGCTTTTAGACATAAATATTGAAAAAAAAGTTTAAGAATATTAATAATTGCGGGAGGTATAATTTTAGGAAAATTTTGAATTTCTTTCAACGTTTTTTATTTGTCCCAAATTGGCCCCAATATCTCAGCGGGGTTGCAAGCTACCAAATCGTCTTTCGACACACTCAAAGAACATGAAAAACCCTTCAAAATGAGACATCATACATATCATTATCTTCACTTTGACGGGGTTTATACGAGAAAACGTTTTTTTTTCAATCGTTAATTACTCAAAAATCTCTTTTTTTTAAACGGAAGATTTCACCAAAAATCGTCAATAAATTACAATAATTTTTGCACCAGTTAGAGTTTGTCTTATACCCTAGTGTAGGGGAGGGTGGGGTAAAACGGACACTTGACTTTTTTTGAATGTTAATGAGGGGTTGAAATGTTGATGAAATTTAATAATTTTGTTTCAATACAGAGAACAATTCTTTCCCTTTCTGATGAGCCTAAACTGAGTTCAATTGATAAATTTGTTTCTGAGTTATAAATTATTTTTAAAAAGTCTAAAGTGTCCGTTTTACCCCACCCTCCCCTATGCAATTATCCCCCAAATAAGTGAATACTCAATTAAATACTAGCAAATTTATCAAATGTAACAAATCTTCAATATGATTTTTTGAGTAAAAAAATGATTATTTCCCTAATCATACCATGAAAAGAAGTGAGTCATTGAACGAGAGAGCATAGAGGGAGCGGGAGAATTGTGACAGCCGCCATAAACACTGCTCTTGGTACCAGAAGGGCTCGTCCGTTAGGGGTTTGATTCCAAAAAAGTGGAACTCCCAATTTACAATGCGTAATTGGTTTGATACATTTCAATTTCTGATTAGAATAGAAAATGGGGATTACAAATTCTGTAGACAAAATCTCAGTGCAAAACATGATGTGTCAAAAAATTAAAAGGCCTTCATTTTCTGCGAAAGATCGTTTTTTCGATAAAATGCAAAGAATCGATAAACATTTACTGAAAAACACCTGTTTCGATAACAATAAAATGAATTTCAGAGAGAAACGTAAGGTTATGTAAACAGCATTTCAATGTTTTGACGTAGACCATATGTTTGCTCCAGTGGAAAAAGAGAGAGAGGAGATGAGCCATGCAGAATCATGAAATGAGCAAAACCATAATTACCATTTTCATCGATCTCTTTCCATCCATCCCGTAATTAAGCATCAAGTATAAACGAATGTGTAAACGCGTTCACAACTCCCAGCTTTACGCTTTTTGTCCTCTAAATAATTTTGCTTAGTCATCCTACGGGTGCGATGGTTGGGCTTTGTCCGAGGAAGATAGAAAATTCTGAGAAGAGAAGGTTGCAGGGCTGCCAACTGTGTTTAAATGTCCGCACCCCTCAGGCTGACAAATTCGGTCAAACAATGACGTAAAATTTCAAAAAGTCAACAAATTACATCTTCATGTTTGTAACTTGTCTTTTTACTTCCCAATGGAAGCCTTCACGGACAAAAAAATTTAAGGGAGAGTGGGGTAAAACGGCCCCTTTTAACTTTTTTTGTGATACTCATAACTCAGAAACAAATTCATTAATTGAGATCAGTCTAGGCTCATTCTAAAGGAGAAGACGTGTAGTTTCCATGGAAAAAAATTATTCCATTTTATTTGAAATTGAATGAGCTGTTAACATTTTTGAAAAAATCAAAAGGGGCCGTTTTACCCCACTCTCCCCTAATAGAAAAACCTATCGAATTCGTTAGAAAATTCTATTGAATTTCTATTGGACTGTTCTATTAGCTTTTGGCCGATTCTATTGAAATGTTCAATAGAAAATATTCAGTAGAAAAGTCAATAGAATTCAATTTTTCTATGTAACTTATTCTATTGAGATATCTTCTATAGAATTTCCTCGGCTGAAATTTTCCAAGTTTTTTGGTTTGATTTTCTTGATGAGAAGAAAAGAAAAATAGAATGAAAAAAACTTGAAAACTTGAAAATTTGAGTCGAGCAAATTCTATAGAAAATATATGAAAGGAATAAGTTATATCGAAAAATCGAATTCTGTTGACTTTTTCTATTGAATGTTTTCTATTGGGCATGTCAATAGAATCAGCCAAAAACTAATAGAAAGTTTAATATAAATTCAATAGAATTTTCTAACGAATTTGATAGGTTTTTCTATTAAATTTTTTCGTGCGCGTTGTGTTCGACGGATTCTTTGATTTTCTGACTTTGAAGGTCAGTTGTATAGGGCGTGCATTTGTTAATTGCCAAAAATAAGTAATTTTAAAGTTATTTAAATAGTAAAACAGGAAATCCAAAGCCACTCTGTATTTCAAACTTCAATGTAAAATTTAATAGACTTGAAGTTTACTTGTTAATATCTCTTCCAACTGTAATTTCTATCTACACTGTTAAAAAAATGAAATTTCATGGACAGTTGACTACTAATTTTCAGGACAACGACATTGAATGCGATTTACGGGGGAAAAATTCTTAAGCCACAAGTTAAGAAACTCACAATTTTAAAACGTTGATATCTCCGTTACAATAGTAAAATAGAATTAAAAATCCCTTGGCTAAGATTTCGAATAGTTAAAAATTGAATAAAAATGCATAAATTATAGTAATATCCGGATATTTCACTGAAATATTGCCAATTAAAAGAATAGGTACAATGAAAATGGCATTGATCCTACGCTCGTTTTGCACCCAGCTGTCAACTGGTAACGGACTAAACGGATGAAAAAACCATTTAAAAGGTTGGACTGTCTAATGGAAATATAATTTTGTGCATCGAGATATTTTTTAATGTTGTTTTATCACAGAATAGGATACTCACGATGTAATTAGTTCGGATATAACCTTTCCATATCACTCAAATCACGAGACGAGGATAGGGACATGTGTCAAACGAGCACGGGGACAAATGAACGAGCGTAGGGACATGGGGCTTTTCACATTCATGGACGATTATTTATTAAAAAATAGTAATTATTATAATTAATATAAATAAATTCCAATTCTGAAGGTTTTACCCTCTGATATGTAATTTAAATCATCGCATCTTCACGCTCATTTCGATAGAAATATTGGACTGATGATGTGTTCACCTTAGCTAGACGAGCGTAGGGTCATTTACCTTAATTAATGTTTTTTTTCGTACAAAATATCAATTGCCTAATCCTCAGAATTAATTTCAAACGAGTCTAATGTTTTATGTTCAATGTTTTATTGTGAGCAATGAATAATCACTCGAATGACTTATTTGCTTGTTAATGAATTAATTGTCATCGTCCTCTGTTGAATCGTCAATCCCATCTGGAGTAACAGCCATGTAACACAGTAATCCCCTGTCTTGAATTTTATTAATCGAGATATAAGCCGAGCCGTCTGGAGTTTTCTTAGAGATGACGGGAGCAATCGGCCCAGGTCTCGGTAAATTCTTGGAAACTTCCTCGATGAGGTTGATCCCGACTGCCTCGCCGAGAGGGGGAATCTTCTCCCCTGGTAACGATTGTCGGAAAATTCCATGCAACCGCCCTCCACGGACCATTATCTTCAGCAACTGTATGTAATCATTGCGTTTTTTCGCGTCGTTTATATTGTCGGAAGAGATGCCCGCGAGTCTTCTGCACCATTCGACTATTCTAACTCGATCTAGAATATTTTTGCATTCATATGATCAAACATTTTCTGGATTAATCTGAATTTTCGTAGCCAAGTGCGAAACGATTTTAAGGGGAGAGTACTACGCAGAGAAAAAAAAGTGGATTCGCTATAGAAAAAATTTTCTACATTTTCGAAACCGTGGTTTCTAACCTTCGGTTCTCTAAAATCTAGAAACTGTTTTCTGTTTTAGAAAAAAATCGTTTAAAATTAATGATTAAAATCGGGATTAATTTTAAACCAGAATACACTCAATTTTAGAAGTAGTACATTATGTCATTAGGTGATGAAAGTGTCACCAGAAGTCGATTTGGATTTTTATAATATAGGGAGATGTGGTTCATCGACCGATGAACCATATCTCACGATTTCCATTTTCTTTCCTTCACTTGAAATCATCACATGAAATCTTCACAAATCATACCATGAGGTGAAGCAATGTGAATCACTCGAGATGCAATTTCCACCAGTGAGTTTCTAAATTCCTCTTTGTACACTCTCGTCATTTTGACCCACCGAAACCCAACCAAAACGTAAAAGGCTGAATACATCCACAAAATAAATAACTCAGTTTCCATGTAAATGTGGTGAAAATCGCTGCATCATTATTATTTCATCATCATTTTGTTTTGACAATTGTTTCTCTCCCCCTTCCATCATCTATACAATAATTAATAATCGAGATATTATTAATAATAAAAAATAATAGTTAAATGTATCGAAATATCTCGTTTCATTATTTAAAAAATCAATTGATCTGTGAGATACAGGAACACTTGAACAATGCTTTATCATTAATCAATGAGTAAAAAACATGATTTACGATAAAACTCATTATAAATAATCATCAGATTAAAAATTTGACATAGAAGATTTTGCCTGTTTAATTCATCTCCTAAACTGGAAAGAACATTAATGCTGATATCATTATAAACAATGAAACAAATTGGAAGCTCGAAGAAATAGAGACTGTAATGAATATCTCAGGATACTGACGGAGGCCTAGGCTCACTTAGGCCATTTGTTTATGTAATATCTAACGTTGGGGATCATCGACAAATTGACTGTTAACTTTCGCTGTTAATCATCGTAAATCAAACAGCCTCATAATGCAATAATAAAATGCAATAAAACTCTATTGTACATTGAATACAATAAACATGAATGAATCTCGAAAATAATTGCACCAGTGTAGTTTCAAATGTACTTGAAACATTTTCAAAACGATATGCAGCAATGGTGCTAATAAATTCACATTAAAAAACCAATAAAATTGTTACACAGACTGTCGAATTCCCTGAATTAGTCAAATTTCAAAATTTTCGTGTATTTATTTTTTGCCAGTTGTATCCTTAATCCTTACTAAGTCTTAATTCAATTCTTATTCTAAAAGGCACTGTATTTAGCCTCCCGAAAAAAATCTCCACGATCCCAATGATCATGATATAATTTTCGGTTATCTCCCCCCTCAGGCTGCCTATCCACAATCACCATAACTCATTCTTTTCATCTAACTATAATTTTTTGAAAATTATCTTCGCATTCTGTACTCATAAAATTTTCTCTCATGATTTTTCTTTTTTCCTCTGTGGCACGTCATTTTCATAAAACCCATTCCTCCCTTGTCTCAATCGATGCAATTTTAGTCACTGAATATTACGTATACAACAGGTATATCGATGTATAATAGTTTTGTGATAAATATACAGTATGATATACGTAATATTCACTTCAATCTTATTTACTAAAAAAAAATTACCAACTAACTGCCCTATTTGAAGTTCTAGTGCCTTATAAAGGCGAGAATTCTACTTCGCGCTCATTTTGTACATTCGGCCGGAAATAAACAAAGACTGTGGGAAGCCTCCGATTGATAAAAATGAGTTAAAGTATGTTGTAAACCTACTTGGCTCGATGAATTTCTAAAAATCATTTCTCAAATGTTTATGATTAAGAAAATTAATGAAATGAAGAGATTCAAATGAGAGATATTAACGACAAGAGTCGTTGGCAATCCTTCATTCAAAATCACTATGAAATTGTGAACAAAAAAATATATGTATATGTATGTATACTGTACAGTTTGATAATAAATAATGGTTTGCATTTTTTTCATTCTGCTTTTTATGGACGAGAGGTGAATATTTATTCGAGGGCCTTGACTTGGGCTTTTATTTTGCCCTCCCACAGAGGCAATACTTCCGTGTCATCGGTGATTTCTTCCTGGATGATTTTGGTATCGACATCTTCACATTCAGTTGTGAAGAAATACCTGAGGAGAATGAGAGAAAAATAAAGAGAAATAATTTGACATTTTTGAACGATTAAAAACGATTTTGAATTTACGAAGGGGTAATTTATACCTATAGCTGCCTCTCTTCGGAAGATACTCTTTGAACTGCTTCAAAGTCACATTGTGCCCTGGGATTTTTATTCTGTAGGGTACATTCTCATCGCAGAACGAGAATATTGCGGTTGTAAAATCACCCGTGTCTTGCTTTTTGCGCAAGGTGGACGTGTTGGAGGGAGCTGCAGGGTATCTTCTACTAGTAGCACCAGAGCTTGATCCAGCAACAATACTTCCTGCACCACCACGTGCTCGGTCTTCCTCCATCAGTCGTCGTCTGGCTTCCTCCAGTTGCATGGCCTTTAATATTCATACGTCAATTAATTTGTGAATAATTAATGAACTATTTTGTTATTCAGCTGAACTATTGATTGGTTTTCAATGAATATCTCGGAATGTAAGATAGATAACAAAATTTTTGGTATAGTCTTTTTTGTAGCCCTTAATTAGCCCTATAAAAAAGGTAATTGCGAAAAGTTCGTTATCTCACTTAGATTCGGAGATATTTCTCAAAAACTCAGCTAAATGATGAATGGACTTCAACTGTTTTACCACTTCGCAAATGAATTATTCATATTAAATTGTACGCAATTGGAATATACGATCGGAATTACATATTGTGTGATCTAAATGTCGAATTGTACAATTCAAATTACACAATGTACAATTGGATTGGTATATTTCAATTTAGTAGAATTCAATTCAATAGACTGTGAGGATTAAAATTACTGCAGATCCAGATTTCACAGAAAACTACATGGAATTCTGAATTTCTGAGATGCAAGAAGATGGGAATTAATTGAAATTACTTGAATTTTTAATCAAACATGATTATTTTGTAACCAATTACGCTGAATTGTTTAGTAATTGAATATTCAACAATATATTGATCTAAATTTTCCTGATTTCTATCAACTCCCAGGGGATAATTGAACTGCAATTTACAGTTCCCACTTTTTGCATAGAAAGAGGCAATTTTTGCTGCGACAGGAGTCATTTTTTTACTTTAACGAAATGTGAAATTTCTCCCACGCAAATTTCATTAAAATGATAGATTTCATTCAATTTTCATTAAATTACATTTTCCTTTCGATTACGTTTCAGGCAGTAAAATTCATTGTGAATTTCAGGATAATTCTTAATGTGTCAAAAAAATTAAAAGATTTTGGGGAGAATCCCCCCAACAGTATTTTGGTTTATTTTCCATTTTTACTTTTTATTCATTTTTATTTTGCAATTTTTTAATTTTAAAATTTTTTGGACTTCCTTTTTTATTAAAAGGGGTATAGTCGCTAACAAATTCGTTGTTGATGCGAGTTTAAATAAATAAATATAAACAAGGGATATAACAATTAAGAAATAACAACAACACAACAACAACTGCCCAACAGCAACAGAGATATCTTTACGTTCTGAGAAGTATCTGGGATAAACTTACAGTATTGGGCGGTGGAAGGGGTGGCATTCCCGGATCAGTGACAAACGGCTGCGAAGGAACTCCCCAGGACTCCCGACCAGCTCTCTCCAGCGAACCACTCCTCGAGCCGTACTTCTTCGGATGTCGATAGTGCTTGCCATCGCCCTTCTTATCACTTTGATTCAACCATGCGTGGAGACGATGCTCCTTGCTTGGTGGCACTGGGGGTACATCACTAACTACACTCACACCACTGTCGGTCAATTCTGTCATGGACTTCTTGGTCGCTGATCTCCTGGACATGTCTGCTCTCCTGAATCTTTGGTCGTGACCTATAAAAATCAAAGCCATAATAACCATCATTATTTTTACAAACATAGTTCATTAAAGAAATGGTCAATTCAGATGAATTAAAGAGTTTTCGATAAAAATTTCTGAGTTCAAGTGAAATGAGAATTTTTTTTTATAAAAACGTTAAGTCAATAAACTCGCAAAGAGAATGGTGATAATTTTTTTTATCACAGTACACTAATTCCTAGGTATTCAGTCAAACTTACATGTCAAGACATTTTTTTTAATACAATTATGTTATAGGCATTGAAGTAGATTTTTGTGTTAAAACTCTTCGGATTTTTTGTTGTTAAACCTCGGAACTTTAACTTAAATTTTATTCAAACTTTGTAGGTTTAAATTTTGTCCTCAACATTCAACTGTTGGAAACCCTTTTAAAAATATGAAAAATTAGAACTTTCTCTTTTAGAAAGTTTCAAAAATTGACAATTAATGTTCCATGTTTGTATTTTTGCATTATTTTCCTGGAGTTTTTACAAGTTTTTTTCAGGTTTTTCGAAGTTCTAGTTGATTAAATTTTTTAGTTTCTACGTTGTTTTGACAAAGTCTTTTTTCACGAAAGTTTTATAGACCTCAAACTTCTTCCCTCGTCATTTCCACGAACCGAAATGAAGTAAAATAACAAAATAACATAACTGAAGTTTTGAAATTTTCAAAACAATAAAATGAAAAAATCTCAACAATAAACAAACCTTGATAATAAAGTTCAGCTTTATGCAAAGAATCAGCATACTCTGAAGGAACAGACTTGGACTTTGGAATATGCGACCCCAATGAGCTAAAAGAGCCCACAGTAGCCAAATCACTGCCCTCTGGGAAGTCATGAATATTTCCGCTATCAGCAGAAAACGTTGAAAACACATCCTTCTCCTTCCGTTGCTTGTAGGATCGTGAATAATTGTGCATTGATACATTTCTTTTACATCGTTCAGGCGAATGTCCCCTGGGTGACTCGAACCTCGGTGATCTCGAGGGCGTGGGATCCGACCAGACGCGTGACACGTGCTGATCGAGAATGGCCTGATCGTCATCCTCAATCTGGAGCTTCTCACGGAGTGCATCAGCCAGGGCATTGGATGGGGGCCCCTCCATGGAGTTCATGCACATTGAGTCAGCCTCTTGGAGATGTCTGTTCAGCTTCTCCTCGTTCTCCTGCTCACGTCTCACTGCCTCTAGCTTCTGAATGAGAATTGGTCCCAGTACAGCTGGATCCGTTGGTACACATATGTCTTTTGTTACACGCTGAGTCCTCGGTATTACTGTGTAGAGGGTCGGATCGCTGTGGATGGGCCCCATGGTTCTCAATGATTTTGACTCACGTCCGTACGACTTCTTCAGGCCTCTCGATCGTCCTATTGACATTCCATCTCTGTTGAACAGATGAAGTAAGTGTTCGTTAATTTTACTCTGATTTTATAACTAGGTGAGACACACATTCATTAATTCAGTAACTAAATGCTCAACTGAGGGGGTTGCATCAACTTTAAGAAGACTCGAATAATGAACTAGTTTGGGAATTTTTTTTTCGGTGGAATTGTTTACTATATTCGTAGTTGAACATCACAGCTTCCATTTAAGGTCCAGTCGACCCTATTTTTTCGCATGTTTTGCAAGTATTTTAATATTCAATCTTTGGAGGTGTCAATTTAATTCCTCGTTTCGAGATTTTAGAAATATTTAAAGTCTGGAAAACGGTGGCAAGTTTTTTCGTAAATCGTTTACAAAACAATCAATTTTCAATTGTGAAAATCATGTTCTCGAATTCGTAATAAGTTTGTCCATATTCGAAACTTTGTCATAAATCGATTTCATACAAATAAAAGATGCATTTAGATTTAGACAACTGACGTAATTTATTCGTAAGGGCATATTTTCAAAAATGAGAATTTTTTGTAAAATGTTATTCCAGTGACGCTATTATCCGAGGATTTAAAAAAAAATTTCTCACCAACTGAATTCATAAATTTGATGATTGAAGATCGCTTAACCACACTATAATGTGGTTCATATCGAATAGTAAAAGGACTTGGATATCCTCAAGATCAGTTTGTGAAGCATTTTGTGGAATTCAAGAGAGATAAATAAAGATCTCTTTATGGAGAACAAAAATAACGCTACGGAAAAAGTCTCAATAAAAAACTGACAAACTCGTTAACATGTTCAGATATTTTTGGAAAACTAATCTTCAAGTGAAAATAACTTTTCATTTTCTTCTAAAAATATTCGCAAATCAGAATTAAAAATAAACAAGCTGGGATGTGTAATTACAAATAATGCAAAGGATTTTAAAGAAAAAATAATAGATGAAGAACTTGAACCTTTCGTATCGCAATGATTCTGATCTCTCACTTTTCTTATTTTCCCATTTTTGAGAGCTCAAAATTATGTTCGAATACCCCTAACCATCATAATTTTCCATAATTTTTCCCGCAGAGTTTTAAGTTCCATGAACAAAATTACTGTCTCCCTTAGATTTCCCAAATAAAAAAAGTTATTCACCATGATTAAGGCCCGGGTGTACTATCTTTCGAATGTTATCTGGATTTTTTTTATCTTTCGTAATCCAAAATTGTCAATTGAGTGGTACATCATGTAGAAATTCCCAAAAATTATGATAGAATGATAAAAAAAATAGAAAAAATTCTGAACTTTTTCAAAGAGCGTTTTTAATTGAGATTCAGAATGAGTTGAAA